CTTAAGGCTAAGATTATTTCAGTGCATGATGTCTCCTCTGGGAATCACTTTGGAGTAGGTGTCAGTCTTTCGGGGAAGAAGGTTCCCAGCTTTGGAATCGTATCAGGGGTTCCTCAGCGAGATGTGGAGGGCTTTCGGACCATCCGGTTACGGGTTAAGATGCCCTCCAGATAAGACTCTCTCTCTTCGAAGTGTGGCAGAGTATGCCATCGAATTCCACACAAGTGCGAAAGGAGAAGTGGACTTGAATGAAGAAACCCTTTTAGGCTAGTTTCAACAAAGACTTAAATGCTTTTTACTAAGGATGAACTGGCTGTCTCAAACCTGACCTTATCATCGTGATGATCCGGTTTTCTCAGCCATTCATGCGGGAAACTCGATCTCGAGGAGTAATGAGAGACAGCGCAGCCATCCAATCGCTTCCTGTGGTGTCTAGCACCAAGGAGGTTAGCAGAGATCCCTTTCATTCCTGTTCCATGCCTCCATGGGCGATCAAACTCGTGTTATCCAGGCACATTTTTGTATGCTTCAGTTGGATTTGTATTGTGTTTTTGGGGATTTTGGGGGCAAGCTCGACCCTTGACAGCTCTCAGCTTCGTCCTTCCTGATGTCTTGTTTGGATACCTGACAGAGGTCTTTTGCTGAGGTTTAAAACTACATTACAGACTGTTTGTTTCTGACTGCCTATGAATCTCTTCTGTAAAAAAACATACCATAACTTAATTTCTTACAAGGTAAATATAATATTGGCAGTTCATGATTCATACTTTTGACAGGTTTTATTTATGAAAACAGGCAGACAAGGCATAAATGTAAATTTGTTGTTTTCTGTTTGATTTTAATTTGTTCATGATTTACATAAATACACAAATAACACTATCGGAAAGAAAGTCAGCAGTTTTGGTGGTTTTTTTATTGTTTGAGACCTGACATGGACTTCTGTCACACGTAACACCATCACCAAGAAAGCTCGACAGCGGCTCTTCTTCCTCCGCAGGCTGAGGAGGTTCAACATGGACTCCAGGATACTCTGCAACTTCTACAGGTGCACCATAGAGAGTATCCTGACTGGCTGCATCACGGCCTGGTACGGCAGCTGTACCGCCCTCAATCGTAAGGCTTTACAGAGGGTGGTGAAAACTGCACAGAACATCACCAGGACGGAGCTGCCATCCATGGAGGACCTTTACTCCCAGCGCCTCAGGAAGAAATCCCTCCGGATTATCAAAGACCCCCATCACCCCAGCCACAAACTGTTCTGTCTGCTGCCGTCTGGCAGGCGTTACCGCAGCATCCGGACTAAAACCACCAGACTCAGGGACAGTTTCATCCCACAGGCAATAACACTGTTAAACACCTGAACTTCTGAAACAACATCCATAACATTCATCTGGCTGCTACTTAGAAATGATGTATCTAATATATCATATTCCAATCACTTGTAGACTCCTATTGCACTATTTCACAATTGTACTATTTATTTCTGGATTTACTTGCTCTATTTTTTCTGTTTTTCTTTTTTATTGTGTTGCACCTGTGGAGACTGTGGCCTAAGATTTTCATCGACATAACTACTCTGTATTTATGTACGTATGACAAATAAAAGCCTTGAACCTTGAACTGTCTCATGGAGCAAAGACAGTTCTTATGGGTGAGTATTTTTATTCTAGTGACATACACCAAACCCACATGGGCTTACAAGACAACCTACATTAAATTCAGAGGAAAGACAAAACAGAAGGACACACACACACACACACACACACACACACACACACACACACACACACACACACACACACACACACACACACACACACACACACACACACACACACAAAAACCTTGTATAGAAGTATTAATGGCAGATATTGGCAGATAAAATACCAACAAAGGCTGGACAGTAGAATGCAACCTAATCCTATCATTAAGGTGAAGAGAGAAGGGAAAAGACAGCTAGAGGCGATTAGCCGTACCCAGCCATCAAACATCTAAACGTCTCATTTAATTTTATATATATTGCTCACAGTCTCAAAGGAAAAGCAGAGCGTAAAGGTCACTGATGCTCCAGCAGGAGAAGCAATCATCACTGACTTTTGGCCTTTCATTGTGAAATCTATCAAGAACAGGCTCATCCATCAAAATAACGAGCGGCACAAAGCTAATAAACAATGCTAGAAAACGAAACAAATACTGCAATTATTGAATGGCCCATGTGAATTCAATCATGCTTCTAAAAATAAATTGCAATTGTCTCTTCCCTTCCTGCATTAGAGGAATTTGCTCATGAGGAAACACAGGTTCAATACCCATTATGACCTGATGGCTATTACCTAATCCATCATCATTACTGAACGTACTACTGTTCAGAGATGCAGCGCACAGCCCACACAAACACACAACATCTTTAACACCCACTAAGTAAAAACAAGCACTCCCACGCAGAAACAAATACACACACTGTATAGTGTGTGTGTGTGTGTGTGTGTGTGTGTGTGTGTGTGTGTGTGTGTGTGTGTGTGTGTGTGTGTGTGTGTGTGTGTGTGTGTTTACTGGAGATGACCGGGGAATGTCTTTGGGAGTAAGAGGAGGTTGTGCTGGTGGTCGGGTTGTAAAGATGGCCAGGTGAGTGGTGGCTGGAGAGATGTGATGTGATTATGAAACCGTGACAGAAACACAACGTTAACCGCAGTACAATTTTACGCTGGGTTGTAACGCACTTAAAGTCTCAGCGCTTATTTCAGATAAAGACTGAGAAGAGAAGGATTAAGATTTGAAACCGTGAGAAAAATACTTGAAGAGGAAAAGCGGAAGACACTCAAGTTCTGTCTGGTAAGAGAAACAGAACAGACTCCTCTCACCACAGGGAGAAACATGAAATAATACCAGACTTTATATTGCAAAACAATCGACTGAAAAAGCAATAAAACAACAGAATTGATATAAAAATGATGAAAGACCACTGGTCTTTGATATGCGTAACATTTTCAATACAAAAATGAATCAGTGCACATCTAAAAGCAAATTAGACTTCACATTAAAATGTCATTGTGCAATTAGTTTTGGTGACACACTGACGCACGGAAATGTCACTGTTACGACAGCAGTCACAGGGACAGACACTTTACACACAAATCTACAAACGACAGCACTGCAAAGCTCTGATTGCCTGCAAAGAAAACCTGATTTCTAGGAACTCTATTTATTTAAATACCTTTTTTCCAACGTCTACCATTTTTTGGAAGAAACTGGCGCATTGCTGCTATTCTCCTATACTGTACCAAATCAAAGATGTAGGCATGCACTTATTGGTTTGATTTGGCCCACAGAGCAAGTCAGTGATGCATTTGTGTAATCAGTGAAATATCTTGACAGCTATTGGACAGTTTTCAATGAAATGTGTTACAGGTATTCATGATGCCCAGGAAATCTATCACGATGAATTGGTGATTCTCTGATTGACTTGCCTTACAACATAAACCATGCTTTATTTGTGGATATTGTCCATAAAAGCATTGACAGTGAGCTAATATCAGATACATATACTATGCATAAAATGTCATGCTTTAAAAAATTGTTTCTTTCTTACAATTTATAAATAAAAACCTCATTGCTTGATTAAAATTATTATTATGTTTCCAAACAAAAAATGAAGCAAATTGGTATATAAATTAGATGTATAAGAGGAAGAGCTGAACACACATACTGCACAAGCACACATACACAACATCAAATGCTGCTCATGAGATAGGGTCCTTGATGAAGGTATTCAGATAACTCCCCTTCAGTGATCACAAAGCAACCGGCAGACAGCGAAAAACACACTGACCTCGGTGTAATGAACGACCATGACAAATAAAATTTGCTTTGCGCATTTCTCAGGCAAAGGCACACATACCCCGAGCATCGATTTCAGCCACAAAGGAAGAAACCTGTGGAATAATCTGTATCTTGAATGCAGCACCTTGCCGCTCCCCTCTGTGTGTCATCTGCACACAACGACTAGTTAAAGAGCTCATTTTATGCCCGCTGCTGCAAGCAGATCGATGCTTTTTCTGGCTTGTGCAAGTAGGGAATCAAGGAGAGGAAAAGGGAATGGGCGATGTTACTAGTGTGACCAACAACCTCCTTGTGAAACCAGCGGTCCAGATCAATGCTCTGACATATATGAGAGGAGAAGGTGTGAGAGAACTGAGATGGGAGAGCAGAAAGACAGTGAAAGAAGGATTGTAGCATCCAGCAGGTACTTCACAAAAGTAAAGAGAACATTGGTTAAAGAGGGCAAAGAGAAGTAAAATAAACTGAGATGGTGTTCATGGCAGGCTAAGAGGTAAAGACAGGACTTAGAAGCAATGAAGAGGAACAGAAAAGTGGAGATGGACAAGGGTGTAAGAGATTTCACAGTGAGAGCCTAACATGCTCAAAAGGACAGAGAGCACTGATTAGTGGGAAACGATGGCTCTCAACAGTCAACAGGCAGGCCTTTTGCTTCTCTGACCAATTGATTTTCGTTTTCATTATTTTTTTAAGAATGTAGAAATGTTTCCTTCTTTTAAATAAATGAATGTTAGCTGTTTACAATTTGTTTTTGAAGGATAACTGTGACACTATGGTGAAATGGAGCTGTAGAAGGATACGCATTGCTATGCCTCTATTCTGATTGACAGGTTGCTGTTGAAAAGTCAAGGCCACGCCCTAATTCTTACCCTGCTGTATTAACTGTCAATTAGACAATACAATTAAAATAACATCAAGCTGTATTGAAAAATACTTGAAAATGTTTACTGTTAAATTAATACATTGAGAGTCAGCGTAATTTGTTTTATAGACTTCTATCCAACTGAGAATTGGATTTCTTTTTGTAACCAGTTGAGGAGCCAGTTTACAGTATTTTGCATCCCTATAGTTGTGAAGGTCTCCGTGTGTTGAACTTGAGTGAATTATGCTTGAGGTAATAAAACAAGAGTAAACTATATAACAAATTGAAAAAACAGCCTTACTCTCATCTGGGTTGGGTGAAGCGAGGATGGCGCTGTGATTCCTCTTCACCTCCTCAACTTTCTCTGCCAGAGACTCAATAAAACCCCGGATCTCCTCCACCTGTCGAGAAAGGGAGAGAGAGAGAGGCACTTTAGATCTCTTCAGTGCTGAGGCAGGAAGTAGCAGTGATTAGTGTGAGTGATGTTGATAGAAACCGAACAGAAAATGTCATTATCGTATTAGAGGCAGAATGAAAGCAAAGGGAAGCAGGCTAAAGTGGAGGAACACACAGATATTCAAAGTTTTTCATATTTACTGCCTGCATCCGGTCTCATTCATCATCATTTTGTGACCTTTACAAATAGTGGAGCAATCTCTGTTTTTGTCGTGTGTTGACAAAACTACAGGCTGATTTCAAACACATTCTCCACACTCCCTGGAAGGTTTTCTATGAGATTTTGAAATCTGGCTGCAGAGATCTGCTCCAACTCAGCCACGAGAGCATTAGTGAGGTTGTCCGCTGATGTTGAGCGGTAATGTCTAGCTCATAGTCAAGTTCTCCTTCAAGCTGTCCAACATGTTTTCACAAGGATATAACAACATTTTAAGAATTATTATGTAATTTAGAAGTGAGAAATGCCTTAATCGCAACCAAGGAGTTTAGCTCGAAAATAAAGAAATATCATAATTCCACTTAAAACATTTGGGAGCAAATCCAGAATTCATTAGTTAACATTGAAAACATAAACCATTTATAATATGAAAACAGTTATCCTGTCCTGATTTTGTATGTATATTCTTTTGCTTTTTTTAAAATTTTACTTGAAATGTGAACACTGTTTAAATTATTCGTCCTTATAAAAAACTAAAATCTGGATCGCTATCACGCTTTTTCTCCGGCTAGGTGCATACCTATTTAAAAAATCTCAGGCATATTCTACTACAAAATAACAACAACCGAGGAACCAACTAACCAATGACATGAAAACAAAATATCTTCAACAATAAAAATAGCATTTTTATTTGTTCCATTCATGGTATGCACAACTTACTGTACAATAATTGTTTACAAAACATGTCTTTATTAAGACACCATTGACCGAAAAGGAGCAGGGAGAAGAAAATAATATTGTGTTATCTGCCCCTTTCTAAACAAAATGGAAATAGATGGTCTGTCCTTCATATTTTCTCATTCACAAAGTATCATAGGATAATAAGAGAAAAAAAATACTTAGTTCCCACTTGACAGTTAAAGGAAAGAAACAAATAAAAAACACCAAAAAATCACATGTACAAAGAAAAAGTGCAACACCCTCATCTGGGTCCTAGAATTTAAATGAGTAGTTTGCCATTAGACATGTGAATGATCTTCCCTGTGTCAAGTTCGTATTTAGTGACAGACCTCAGACTGATATCTATATTCTAATCTAATTCCTAGGCAGGAGAGTGAACACATCTCTTCAAATTTTGAATAATTGATTCAAGCACATGTTGAAATATTTTAAGAATAGCTGACACTGGAAGTGCATGACATGTCCTCTGCACTTCACCCCATCATCTGCCACCAAGATATAGTTTGACATTCCTCCCTGCTGCCTCGTCCCCAGCTGTGCTGCCTCTGGCTCAGGTAACAGCTGGACGAGCAGCAGGGCACATCTGTCAGTGACTTCATCAATATCTGCTTTCATCACAGTCTGTCATCAACCGATCATTTTCTCCTCCTCTCCACCTGCTCCACCACACACCAGTTCTCCCTTCGTTCTCCTCCGTTTTTATTGGACTTTTCCATTTGCAGCCCAGCTCTCCCCTAACACTCCTCACAGCTCTGCACTCAATCCATATCTTCTGGAGCTCTCAGCCTGGGTCATTATTCTCCCATTAGCTAGTTAATTAGCTGTTGATTGGATTGGGTATATTTTTTAATAACAACATAATTGGCTCTGGAATACCAGTGGGGAGAGACCAGAAGGCACACTGAGGTAAGTAGGCCTACAGGTAGTTAAAATGAAATACATGTAGGACGGACAGGCAGGGAGGGAGGTAAAGTTAAAAAGTAAGATTGAGACATGAACACAGGCTGGAGAGAAAGTGAAGGAGACGGAAAGTGAGAGGAAGAGGAAGCCACTTAAAGCTGTCTCAGTTTAGGGACCATGTTAGTGAGTCACGGTGTGTCTCTCAGACCTCATAAGATATCAGGCACATTTTATTAGTGAGGGAGAAAAACCAATTTCAGACATGCAGAAATAAATAAGCAGACACACATACACACACTTGTCCATTTCATAACTTCCTTTATGAGCCTGACATGCTTGTATCCACCAAGAGATTTGTTGGTATCTTCTACAAATTGAACCGTTAACCATCCAAAATCAACGGCTGAAAATTGCTTGTTTCATACTTTGTCATCTAATGTTATCAAAGTTAGTCTAATTATCTTTTGCTTGGTATAATAATAAGAAGGCTTAAGGCCACAGTGGATATTTCTTGCTTTTGCTCACTTCATTCTTGCATCATATAGGGATTGTTTTTTGGGCCATAAAATGAGCCCTGCTACACCACGTTACAAGAGTACTGACATGTCAAAGCATGAAAAATAGGAAAAGTAGGGCTGAGAATAATTGAATAATTGAATCACAATGTATTACAATCTTGAATGGTCCATTTTGCTTTACCAAAACATTTGAATGGTATAAACAAATCTGCTAAATATCATATTCAGACTGAGCAGTTTTCAAAACGGTGTTTTCATTTAACAACACAATAATCATTCATTTACTAAAGCATACTCATTGTTGCAGCTTAACTCATGAGGCATACAATAAGAGACTCAGCTAAGCATCACTATTGCAGACACATGCATGCACACACTGTCAAAGCTGTGAAGTCAACATATAATAGAGATCTGTTCTTACACATACACACTGAACGCCAGAAAGTGTGGCTACACACAGCATATGTCAGATGTCGCACCTGTAGAAGGTAAAGACGTTATTGCTGTTTAGTGATTCAACCACTCTTATTTATTTTTTAATTGAACCACAGACGAGTTTGCCTTTGTACAGGGCTTTTCTAGATGATGAGATTTGAGGAATAAACGTAATTGGTTATGTTTATTATGAAGAGATATGTCCACCATGTGAAACCGAAAAGCTCTTCCACATGTTTAAATTATGTTGAGAGTAAATGTATAATGTCATTTTTTGTCAAGCATAAAAAGAAAAAACCAATACATCTAAACTAGAATGTAATTCCCAGCCAACTGCTAGTCATTCTGCTTTGGTGGGTTTATGAGTTTTAAGAGGAAATGTAGAATCAACATTAATGCTTAAGAGATGGTGTGTTGTACTTAACTGCTGCGAGACACAAAGGCAACAAACACGCATTGATAGCTGTTTCTGTTGTAAAACTTGAGGGGCCATTCACATACATTTTCAGGTAAAAAATGTAAATTATTATTCTGAAACCAGATTTTTGTAGCTCAAATGCCATATTTCACAATGTTAATGCACTGTAAGTCACACATAATGTATGTACTGCATTGACAGTAAATAGAAGAATATTGCAAGATTTTATGGAAAACATGTTTATTCTCTCACTTTCAAATGACAATATAATGGCATGGGGCAACAATTATGAAAAGCAGCCTTATCCTTTGATGCAATCCAAACAATGAAATCCACAACAACAGTCACACACTTAATGCACAGTGTAATACATGATACTTAAATACACAGCCTCATTCATGCCTGCACAAACAAATGCCACAAACACATTATGAAAGCAATACCCCCACTTAGTGTCATGTTTATGCTGTGAGTGAAGGGTTGAAGGCAGCAGCAATCTCTACACTACTAAAAGCTTAATTTACGTACCCCGTCAGAGTGAGAACTGATTACTGCTCCTCTCCCTCTGCCCCCTTCCCCATCTATATCTCCATCTGTCTCATATACCTGTCCCTCCTCTGTGGTTTAGCTGTCTTACTTCGCCTAATCCTCTTATTTCAAAATCATCCCTTCTGCTTTTTGCTCGGTCTCAAACTGTTCTGTCTCCATTTTCACTCATCCTCCAGTTTCTCACTGGAGGCAGATGTAATGGACTGAAATTCCAGAAAGATAAAAGAGGGCTATCTTCCAGTATCTAGAATTGGCAAAACAGAAATGAGAGGAGACAAATGACAGCAGACTGCAGTGTTCTCTCAGAGATAAAACATCAGATAATGAGAGTGTTTTAGGAGTCATTTAAAAAGGTATAATACCCCTGTAATGATTGTCAAATCTCAGACTAAAGAGATTTAGTTCTGGGTATAGAAGAAACAAACTTGCTTCTGTCACTTTTACAAAATGTGAAGATGCTTAGTATTTGGATATGTGTTGCTAGAATATGTGTTGCAGGGAAAAGACACATATTCCTTATTTTCAAAGTGAGGTCTTAGCATTCATTTTTAAAAGTCAGGCAAGTCAAATGTGGGCCTTGAACTAGTCATCTCTTCTTTTTATTTATTCATAAACAGAATATTAATGTGCAGCTGGAGAATTTCCCATTTGCTGATATAACGTCTTTTTTGCAGAGGATGTTTTCATTTTGCTCTCTTCGATGTTGACCTCTGATTTACAATGTAAATGGTGGATTTATTCACCTTTAAATGTGTACATCCAAAGCTTGGGGATGGATGTGGGGGGAGAGCAGGCTGTAGAGAAAGGGACGGGCCAGGTTGTTAAGACCTTTGTGGGTGCGTAGTATTTTAATAATAATAATAAATGGAATTTATAAAGCGCCTTTCACAGGACCCAAGGTCGCTGTACATGCTGGACAGACAAAACAAAACAGACAATGAGGAGCGAACAAAACAAGAAATATTTTGAAGTCAAACCTGATGGTGGAAGTGAGCAGGCAGGCAGTGGAGTTCTGGACTCATTGAAATGTATTTCTGATTTCATTCGGACAGCCAAAGAGGAAGCTATTGCATTAGTCAAGTCTGTAAGGGATGGAGTAATGGGTAAGGAGGTATGGAGATGGGCAATGTTCACAAGGTGGAGCATTTTAGGTTAAGTAGTTGCCAAAAGGTAAGAAGGGTTGGGTCGAGGATGATTCTGAGGCTGCAGACGCGTGTAGGGGGTCTCATTTGAGCAGTCGAAGTGAGAAAAAGTATGCCAATGATTATTATTTGTTTGCAGTTGAGTTGAAGGAAGTTTGAAGGTGTACTAAATGGTTCAAATGTCTTCTTTACCTGCCAGAACTACCATGTGGCTTCACCTTGCAGGAGTTGTACCCTGTGATATGTACAGTGTGTCCGTCATATGCCTGTTTATGAGTTACACTATGTGACAGCTGCTTCTCGCTGTTGCTGCTGTTAGTCTGAACGTCGAGATTATTGAGATACAGAGTTTTTGATGCACCTGCGGCTCGCACCCACATGATTCTCCTGGTGATGTGTTTATTGTTTCGTATTGCTTTGAAAACTCACATATCAAAGAGCTGATTGTCAAACCTCTTTCATGACTCACAAATGCTGATAAATGGCGTTAAAGCTCACTCTATACCTACCGTTGTTGCAGCATTTGCAATGGTGATTTAAATACTTCAAAGTTAAAACCCCATGTGCATACATTGACAAACAAAGACATTTTAACTAACCAGAAGCAAAGCCTCGTAAAATATAACAAATACGGCAGAGACAGCAAATAAATAAATAAAAAATGACTATAAAAATGGATTATGATGTCTCCTTTTCAAGGCAAATTATTCTGCTTTTCAAAGGCACTCACTTCGGGAGATTTACATTACATATAGGCGCTCTAAAAATGGAGCCCCCCCCCCCCC